GTGTGAACAAATAATAAAGTGAAAATAAGTACCTATAAATGTTTAGTTGGCTGAACAATTCTTTCGTGACTGCCTGAAGAATTGGGCAGATCTGTTGATAAAATGTGTGAACAAATAATAAAGTGAAAATAAGTACCTATAAATGTTTAGTTGGCTGAACAATTCTTTCGTGACTGCCTGAAGAATTGGGCAGATCTGTTGATAAAATGTGTGAACAAATAATAAAGTGAAAATAAGTACCTATAAATGTTTAGTTGGCTGAACAATTCTTTCGTGACTGCCTGAAGAATTGGGCAGATCTGTTGATAAAATGTGTGAACAAATAATAAAGTGAAAATAAGTACCTATAAATGTTTGGTTGGCTGAACAATTCTTTCGTGACTGCCTGAAGAATTGGGCAGATCTGTTGATAAAATGTGTTGCTTAAAAATCATTATACGAGACAACAACTGGATTTATTTTATTTACAAGTTGCATAAATATTCACTGGACATCTCCCCCACCCCACAACAAAAGTTGCACTTCCCAAATAATATTGTAGAAGTTGTATATTAAGGAATGACTTTAAATTGTTTTATTTATGAAATGCAAGAAAAAAGTGAATTTTAGAATATGTGATTTGAGTTACTTTCACAACTAACCGTGCTTTGAATAACTTAATTATAAAAATGTTTCCTCAAGTTTGTACTGATAATGTTAAATAATACACATCTATTATTTTCATTGAAACAAACTTGAGATATAAAATATTATTTCACTTTATGTAATTTTGTTAAGCTATTTAAGGCAGATTTGTTTGTTTTTTATAGGAGATAATTTTGTATCAGAAAGTAAAGCAAAACAGTCTGATTCAGCATCATCTGGTGATTCAGATCTGAAGGTGGAAATAAGAACTGCTTCATCATTGTCAAATAATGAACATGAAAGAAGTTGGGAGGAAACTAGTGACACAACACGTGTGCAGGACCACCCTGATATTTACAAATATACAATGGACTACGCTGAGCCCAAGTTCCCGCCTAAGCTGGTGGGTACTAATTAATTGCAACTAGACCTTTGATTAAGTCAGTCTATTCATTATTAGTTAACGTATTATGCTTCATTCTATCAATTAAACAATCCGTTTATTTTTCATTCGTGTACTTTTAAACTTAATGTCGTACCATAGCAGCTATGTGGTCAGTATAGTTATCTTTTTGTTTGTTTGTTTGTTTTGAATTTCGCGCAAAGCTACACGAGGGCTATCTGCGCTAGCCGTCCCTAATTTAGCAGTGTAAGACTAGAGGGAAGGCAGCTAGTCATAACCACCCACCGCCAACTCTTTTACTAACGAATAGTGGGATTGACCGTCACATTATAACGCCCCCACGGCTGATAGGGCGAGCACGTTTGGTGTGATGGGGATTCGAACCCACGACCCTCATATTGCGAGTCGAGCACCCTAACCACTTGGCCATGCCACTTTTTAAGAATGATCTATAAGGTATATTAAAATCACTCTGAAATGAAAGTAAATAGTTTTATATTAATATACTCTTTTACAGAATAAATGCTGAATTTTTTAACACTAACGATTCAGATGTTTAAAAATGAGAACCTTTTCCCATTCACTCATTATACCGACTTTTAATGTTATATTTCAGTGACGAAATTGAATACAATACACCATAACTGACAACACTAAAGATTATTTAACAACTTCATTTATTTGAAATAATAATCCGTATTATTAGCAATGAAAGGTTACAGTTTGAGTTAAACTAAGAATTTCCTATTCTATAATTTCAAATTTTTGATGAATTCTTTCATAAGTTGCGATAAGTGCTAGACAACCGTGGCACTCTCTGTTAACAATGACTAGTAATTGCTAGGCCTGTCCCGTGTAATTCGCACCTCATATCACATTTTGTGTTGCTTTTCACTCTGTATTCCCTTTTAACATTGATATTACATAAGCGACAATACAGTGTTAGCAAATTCGCTAGACATTACCATTATCATGCATTAATGGACTACGGAAAACAAATAAAGGTAGCTTTCATGCACACATGAAAGTAACTATTTGATATTACATCTGTCATAAGAGAGATATCGTTAAGAAATCCAGGTACATTTCATTGGCCATATATTTGGTGGGTCGCTTAAGGGGTAATGAGAGTTTACGCAATGAAATTTTCAGGAATAAATCATGCACTTTCATAGCAGAATTCGGAAAATGAATATCAAGCTGCACCAAAAGACAAACTATAGAGAAGAGTTTTGTGTTTCCACTGGTAGTGATGAAGGAACACTCTCAGTTTTTCTCTCTTTTATATCTATTGAAGTGACAGCAAGGATATAGAACTTATTGTGCTTTCTATGGAGTGTTAATCTCGGAGGATGTGAAAAGATGTATTTTTACACTGGAACTGTCTTATAGATAAAGAACTTATTGTGCTTTCTATGGAGTGTTAATCTCGGAGAATGTGAAAAGATGTATTTTTATGCTGGAACTGTCTTATAGATATAGAACTTATTGAGCTTTCTATGATGTGTTAATCTCGAAGGACATGAAAAGATGTATTTTTATACTGGAACTGTCTTATAGATAAAGAACTTATTGAGCTTTCTATGATGTGTTAATCTCGAAGGATGTGAAAAGAAGTATTTTAATACTGGAACTGTCTTATAGATAAAGAACTTATTGAGCTTTCTATGATGTGTTAATCTCGGAGGATGTGAAAAGATGTATTTTTATACTGGAACTGTCTTATAGATAAAGAACTTATTGAGCTTTCTATGATGTGTTAATTTTGAAGGACATGAAAAGATGTATTTTAATACTGAAACTATCCTTTTCATTTGATAAATTTTGCTGCTTTGTAATGTTCTCTTTTTATTATCCATATGACAGACTGGGTTGTTTAAAGATATGATAGACTGGGTTGTTTAAAGATATCTTATACGATAAAACTAGTCTCTTAACCGTTTAGCTTAGTTTTTAGAGCATTCGCTTGATGTATGAATTCGATCCCACTAGATAAAATAACATTACCACATCCAAAACTAAGTTCTTTAAACACCTTTCTTAGGAGGATATAAAAAAATCTAAAAATTGTACTTCACTCAAAATAGTGTAGTTATATTTGTTGATGTTGTTTTTTCATGTTTTTTTCAATTACCTACATTGTTTTTTTTTCCACAGGAGACTCAGAATAACAATGGGTACGTCCCGTATGTGGACTACTCTACAGATTACAATCCTTCTGCAGTACGCCTGAACTCTAGCAGAGACAGTGGTCTCTACGACAGCTCCCCGCAGCTTCTTAGTGAGTTGGGCCATCCGTTGGACCCTAACTTCCGAACAGCTTATGCTAACCCTTACATGAGGACATCACAGGCCAATCTTCCTCCAGACCATGTTCTTTACGGCAGTACCAGAGGAAGCAGTCCAACACCTCAGGTGCTGCCCTCCTTGCCTCCTAATCATTACATTACCAGTCAACAACTACCAAGCCAGCTGAAACCTGGAACTTTAGCAACTCATGTCTGACAGTGGGAAGAAAGCGAGCTGTGACTATCATTGCTCATTCCTGTGTCAATTTACACTCAGTGTTGCCGATGAAGTGGGCTTCCCTTCTGATAACACAATAATTTCTGTGGAGAAAACGGCCCTTTGTTATATGCCCTTGTGTATGAATCTGCGGTGAAAATAAAACCAAATTAGAAACAATGCGATAGAGGCTACTTGAAGACAGACAATCGTCACTGTTGCCTGTGATAATGAACTGTGGAGATATGAAATCTAAGGGATTTTAACAGTTACAGTGAAACCAGTGATCTCATGACGACACGGATGTCCCCTTTCCTTCTAAGATACGTTGCTGTGTGTAAAGCTGTGTTGAACCCAACATTTTGTGCATTTTTTGATCTGCTGCCTTCATTTTGTGGTGCTTTAACCAAACTTTCGCTTTGTAATAAATGTACCATGAACCTTATAGCGTGGATCAGGGAACTTAAAGTTCTAATAATGTCATAATAATAAATCATTAGTAATACTGTCATATCTCACCCATAGAATAACACAACTAGATAATATATTAAAAATACTTTACTCTGTTGGAGGTTTATTAACCTCATCATTTCAACTTCTTTATACTTAGAACCGATCTGTACATCATCTGTGCCTCTTAGTTGGTGTCGGTTGATGTAGTAGTACTGTGTAATGTCAAATGAAGTGAGATTTCTTCAGCTGAAATATATATAGAACTTCAGACAATTACAAAGGACATTGTGAGCTAATCAACTAAAATATTGAAAATTTGGCGTACAGAAATTTGCTGTATATAATGTAAAGGATTTAATCATGTACAAATTGCGCTGCTATGCGAATATTTAGGAGGCATGTTGTTTCATAAACAATTGTTATATTACAGAATTTGTAGTCAAACTACTGGGGTTGAAATTCAGAAAAGCTCAAACTATCTGTTATCCAGATCTTTCAAAATCGCATGGCCTGTTATTTTGTTTCCAGAGTTACTACCACAAGCATGATAAGGACGTTTGAAAAAAGGGTATTTGTATGTACTGTCTTCGTATTCATATGTAATTTGTATTACACCGTTGTGTATGTTATGTGTGATTATAAGTATTGTTGTGTAACCACATTTAATTGTGTAATTCTCTCTTCATGCGTGATTAGACTTTCAGCCTGAAACGTCATGCTTAGTAAACAGCTACTTACGAGTGATTTGCAGTCTTTGGTATCATTTTGATGTTATAAGAATTCACTTTGCTTATTTACCGTGTTCACCACGACATTGGAAACTTCGTAATTATACCATGAATCTGTTTTAAATTATTGATACTCAACTATAAGCAGTATAGGAGAATATTATAACGTTGTTACTAAGCTTTGGTAAGCGTTACTGTGCATGTATCTTTTTTTTTTCGGCAATCTGGTTGACGCGCACAACGAGATTACGTGTGACCAATGACGACATGTCAAATAAAATTAACTTGTCATAAGTCTTTTTGACTGTTATTTATAGGCTATTAAGAGAAGTATAAAGCGTTTTCCATATCACTCAGTTACGTAGTAATCTGTACTTGGACGAAATAGTTAGTCCTAACAGCATATCTAGTCAACAGCGCCACATGATTCCAGATAACGTCAGAAATGCCACATGATGCAAGAAGAGTAAAAAACGCCACTAAATGCTAGAAGTTACCGTGTATGTGTTATTAATGAATAAGGTATCTGAATGAATCCACAAGCTATTTGTTTCTAAGAGCTTTTTTTTATATTTTAGTTGATGTAATTTATGGAAGATTAAATACAATGCTTTTCATTCATTTACTCACTTTATTTTGAAATGTAAAAGTTATATATTTTTATTGTCAATGTTAAATGACAATAAAGCCACCAAGTGTACGCTCAAAAATGTGTCGTTTTTCATATGTATTTTATTAAAACTTCACACATAGAATTTTTTTTATAAGAACCACCAAATGCGTTGTTTTTCATATGTACTTTAGTAAAACTTCACTCGTAGAGCCCCCAGTGGCACGGCGGTATGTCTGCGGACTTACAACGCTAGAAACCGGGTTTCGATACCCGTGGTGGGCAGAACACAGATAGCCTATTGTGTATCTTTGTGCATAACAACAAACAAACAATCACTCGTAAAAAATTATTTAAGAACCACCTTTATGTGTCCCTTATAAGTCATAATTAATAAAACCAACTTGTGATTAAAATGTAACAGTAGAGATCTTTCATAAACTTGTAATTCAGTGTAATTGACAGAATCATCACTATACAGGTATGCAAGATAAGCACATAAAACTTCAAGGATTTTTACAAATTTCTCCTTTCTAAGTAGCGTATAACACAACTTTGTATAGTCACGTAATGCTTGTCTCACGTTCATCCCATGGGAAGTCTGGTGTATATATACAGAGGTTGATAATTATCTTAAAAATGCTTTGGAACCTCAACACGTCGTTAGAGTCCCTGTAGACACTTGTGATTATGCTTTATCTTACGACCGCGCATCTTGACAATAGAGTTACAGCGTAGTTTTCATTGCAAAGTCATGTTCAAACCACACCTTTCCTTCCACCATACTCCGTCTAGTGTACGACGACGACGGCTGCTTGACAATAGAGTTACAGCGTAGTTTTCATTGCAAAGTCATGTTCAAACCACACCTTTCCTTCCACCATACTCCGTCTAGTGTACGACGACGACGGCTGCTTGACAATAGAGTTACAGCGTAGTTTTCATTGCAAAGTCATGTTCAAACCACACCTTTCCTTCCACCATACTCAGTCTAGTGTACGACGACGACGGTTTCCCGGATCTTATTTCAGCAGTCGAATCGCGTAATAGCACGAATATCATTCTTCAGCTGTTTTACGTATGCAACACTTAAACGTGTGTATGCGTGGCTTGTTTCGCTTTCTCGGAGGAAGATCCTTCTTGGTTAAGTTACGTACTTTTACCCGAGACATGTAGACGACTTTTGTTCGTGGATTTTCATCTGTTACAAGAAGTCGCACTATGTTTACCACGGCTGGTGCACGACTTGATATAGGTCTCTTTCTAGATGATCTAGATGGCCAAGTTAATCCATATTTCTTTGCTATCCAATGCCATTGAGTAAAAGGATATCCTTGTTTTGTAAATTATGAATCTCCGATCTGAACACACCTTTAGGATCTCAGTATATGAGTATTTTGCGTTAGAAAAGGCTGTTACGCACCTTTCCGAAAAAAAAACGCATCGCACTATACTTACGTACGCAACACGATCTCGAAAAACTAGTTCTGATACGTGTTTTCCCCCCCGCGATGTGACTTGATGGGTTGAATATTACGTGCTCAAGCCTGTATATACGTGTCAGGAAAGTGTGGTTTAGATTAGTAGGTCTTATTCACATAATTGATACTGAGTACCTTAGTTTAACGACATAAAATCTATGAATAATTGAATATTAACTTTTAACCTTTCGAACACATTTCTTATTACTTTCATTAGTCATTCTGTTGTGATTTACAAAATGTAAATGGGTTTATACGTTGATATTTTATCCTTGCTACAGTTTAATCAAGGTACAGAAACAAAATTCCAATTTAGATCTTTATCAGAACAACAAATCGTTTGAGCAAAACGTTGTTAACTTTTCGTTTATTTCACAGGATTTTTAATTATATTTACAAATATCTGCCGAGTTAAAGAAAATCGACAATAAGTAGTCATTGTGGTTTAAAAACTGTATTATTAATGAAAGAACTTAAATCCAATTTGTTGTCCCTTAAGCTAGTACAAAAATATAAAAAAAACAGAAGTCAGTAACAAGCTAAAACGCCAAGTAATTATTATATTATTCTATCCATGAAATTATGAAATAAAAATTATATTATATTAACCTGTAACGTGAACTTCTTATGCATTAATCTACGTTCATCATTTTTACATTACCTAGGAAGTAACGTTATGGAAACTATGTGATTTTAAAGCTCTTCATTCCAATTTACCGTACTTTCCGGTTTATAAGACGATGCTTTTACTCTTAAAACAATGTCTGATTTTATCCCTCGTCTTATACACATGTTCAAAGACAGAGTTCCAGTAAAAATTCTTTTACTTGGCCCGGCATGACCAGGTGGTTAGGGAGCTTGACTCGAATCTCAAGGTCCCACCCAACATGCCCGCCCTTTCAGCCGTAGGGGCGTAATAATAACAGTCAATTCCACTGTTCGTTGGTAAAAGAATAGCCCAAGAGTTGGCGGTGGGTGGTGCTGACTAGCTGCCTTCACTTCTTTCACTCTCGTGTAGCTTTGCGCGAAGTTCAAACCAATCTTCTTTGCTTTTTTTGAGTAAGTACGTTGACATCTTGCCACCTACTGGGGTACAATGATCCTGTACACTGAACATCAAAGAAATACACTTAATTTGATCATCTAGGGTCATCTATACATGGGATCGTCTTATATACTACCAAAAGCGTATCCTATTTGTCTAACACTAACCTTACGTTGTTTTATTTAACCTCAGATAATCTCGGTCATATAATTTCAAATAAAATTCGACATATTTCTAAGTTTTAATTAATCAAACTTTCCTTTCATTTTAAGCTCTGACGATACATTATGATATATGTATATTGAATAAATTGAACATTTTTGAGGAAATTTTACAATTCCTTCAGGATTTTTTAATTGAAAAGAGTTTCAGAATAAAATTATAGCAGGTTTTCAAGTTTAAGTAGACATATATATATAGAATATATATATATATATATATAAG